GGGTCGAAGCCCCGACACGAACAGTACTAAATTTTCATTCAAAGCTAGACTCGAATCTGGGTTTCGGGCCTTTCAGAAGGATATTTTCTCCAAATTAAAAAATCAAAAAACATAAAATATTTCGAAATCAGAAGTTTAGGAAAGAAAATGTAATTGGAGACATAAATGTTTTTATTTTTTATGAAGTGAATGTGTTTTGTATAAAACAAAGATTGAAAACAATTGATAATAAAATTAAAAAATAGGATAAATTTTATTTTTTAAATGAATGAAAAAAATAGTATTTTTATACCCTCATCCACAACAAACAACTGAACAAATGAAAAACCAAAGTTGGCATAAATGATGATAATTCATCTCTTGAACATTTAAACTTTTAAAACCCTCATCTAATTATAAAATTTAATATATAAACAGTGGTCGTTAATTATATGTATGTACTTAAATAATAAAACATACTTTCATCTTTTTATAGACTTCAGAATGGTTCCTTTGAACCTAAATGCAGTATAATCGATATAAGTGCCTATATTATGACAATTAAAATCATATAAAGTAGTGGGAACCGATAATATTCCCAGTGAAATAATTAGGCATGCAGGGAAGCCAGAGTTTCTAAAATACATTTGTTGATCAAACAGACCTGGGAAAGAAAAAAAAAAATTGCCTGAAGAATGGTAAGAATTTATTTATTCACAAAAAGGACAAGTGGAAAGATTTAATAACTATCTAGGAATCCTACTCCTTCAGATATGTTACAAGATATTAACATTAATCCTTACTAATCGAATCACGGAGTACGCGGAGGAAATTATCGAAGTGGATTTAAACGGAATCATTCAACTATTGATCAAATATATTATTTACAGGAAATATTAGAGAAAAATTTATGGAACAACAACCAGTTCCATTGGTCAACGGAGGCTGCATAATATTCTTTTTGAGCAGTTAGTTAGGATTTGCATGACGGAAACATCCCATAAAGTTATAATCGGTAATTATTTATCTTAAGTTTGAGGTTCGTTCGGGTCTAAAACTGGGTGATTCCCTTTCAGTTATACTGTTTAATTTAACATTAGAACATTTCATTAGAGAAGTGAAGCATGTCGGAGAAGACAAAGACCAAAGCTGGTAAGAAAAATCGATTTTTAAATAAAAATTAAGGCAAAATTGTTACTAATACTTGATAATTTTAGTGAATATGTGTAAAGAATTGGTATAACCAATATACTTTTAACTGTTCTAATTCTTCATTCGAGATTAGTTAGATTTCTTCTATCTTAAAAATTACAGCGATAAGATAATAAGTAAACTGCATCTGTTGCGAGACTCTTACGAAAGACCAAGACCAAGCTCAAGACTGTGTGCGCAAGACCAAGACTCGTGCATTTGAGACACACTAGGGTGGAATAATATCCGAGCTTGATTATCCTGATGATTTGGTACTCTGAAGCGAAGACACAGGAACTATAAAATTAAGTACAACTTTGATTGATGAAAACCTGTGAAAAACTGGGGCTCGAAACAAATACCTCCAAAACAAAATGTATGGTTAACTGTAAAATCGGCGATTACTAAGGCAAGTGCATAAGAAAGAAGCTTTGCTTTGCAATGTGTGAGTTCTCACTGGGGCATACAAGTGAAAGATAAATTATCAAGAAATTAATTACGTTGGGAGCGCATTATTTTAATGTGGCATATTTGAAACAATCGTGAAAATATCACCAAGGATGTAAGTCAGTAACTTACGAATTAAGACCTAAATTACCAATTGTTATAAGAATTTAAATAGTAATTATAGGAGTTTGTATCTTTGAGTCATGTTCTAATAGAATTACAGTCCAAGCAGTTTAAAAAAGAACACATAAAAAATCGGTAAGGCCATACTTGTTAAAATAAATTATAAATAAGTCTTTAGCAATGCTTTGTTCAGATACTTATATATTAATTGAAAGTGGATCGTATATAAAAAGTATTATTCACATGTTATATTATTTACGTGATACTATTGTATCAATAATAATACAGGCGATTCGACAGAACTTTGCAGGAATTCTTGAGGAGGTTGTTATTAGTTATTATTATTATTAGTCAAAAATATGTAATAATTATTTTTAGTGCTTTTTAAAAGCATTAAAAAAAGTCATAAAATTGATAAAGGTGCAAGTTTTATTTACATCCCAACTACCAATCAGCCGCAACATTGATTACTACCAAAGATATTATTTATTATTAATTACTGACGTTACAGCTTTCCGCGATAAAATGTTACAAAATGCTTATTCCTCGAATCGAGATTTCAATCAACATTCTTTTATGACTACGGCTTGTGGCTATTCGATACCGTAAGTCCAGATAAAAAATCTGTTGGTTACTATAGGCACTAGCGGATCCAAGATTTAATTTTGGGGAAAGCTTTAGCCCGATAGCTTTTTTTTTTCATAAAAATAACGATAATTACTTTGGAAAAAAACAAAGAAACTAACAACCTACATGAAATCGTATTTAAGTGATTCCTAAAGTCTTTTTAAATGTAAACATGAACAATAATACTTTGAGAGATAGTTTTTTCATATTTTTTTCCATAAAACGTGATTATATTTTACCATTTTGGGGGGAGGGGCTTCAGCCCCAAACTCCCCGTAGTTCCGCCCGTAACTATAGGTAAGCTTACTAGCTTGAAGTGATTTTTTGCTTAGCGAGGTGCTTTTGTAACAGTCTCACTATTTGAATTTAAATTTTTCATTTTTCGTAGAATGGGATGAGAGTGTTACTTACTTCTTGGATGACTTTAGATTTTTAAATTAAAATATTTCTGGTGGTTTTGAGAGGTTCAAAGTGGATGTGTGAGCGGAAAGAAAGATAAATCTAGCTTCGATACTTTTAAGACCGTCGGAAACATTTTAATTTTAAAATAAATAGAGAGTGCTATCATTGGGTAGTGTCTCGACAAGTCTATTTATGTCAATACTCTTGATTTACTCATATTTAATAGTTGTATTTATTTAGAACAGTTATAAATTTCAACAAATAAATAAATAAAAAAAAATCAATATTGTACCAAAGTCATTGAAGATATAACATATTCATTCCATTTTACGGTTAATAGAAATTATGACAATATTTTGAATATGATTCCTAGCAACGCACAGTGGGATCTCAACACAATGTAAATTAGTTTATCTATAGGGCATATAAAGCGTATTATTTGTTAATGAGTTGAAAAGTGTCTGTTTCTGGTACACTTTATTATTGAATTTTCGCTTTCAACTTCCAATTTCTATTATTATGTTTAATTATATTATTTGTTTTTTCGTTCCGATTGTATTCAATTTAATACAAAATTATCCACTATAGATATTTTTACTTGTTCTCGATAAGTTGCCTAGGACATGCCTATGTGTGTTGCCTACATTTTTGCTTTCACCATAACTTTATTTCTATTATAATTTCCCGGAAGTATTTATCGGATACCGATCGAAGAATTTCTTTTCAAAATAACTTAAATAAAAAATAATAGCGGATCTGATGCCATATTGAGCAAATAAGGGTCATGAGGTCGTTTCGAAAAGCGGGACCGTTATAGAAGCATTAATGCCGAAGTTACTTACATTTCAGACGAATTGAATCGATCATAAAACTTGAGGAAATGTCTCTATCGGAAGGCCGTAACGGGAGATATCCATTTAACACCTGAGCGGAACCTTTGTGACAGGCGATCGGAACGCCGTTCTGCGGGAATCGAACCGCTGTATCTCGGCTTTAATGACATTCTCTAACGAACCAGGGTCCAGTTAGACCAATAACATCAAGGCCCAGCTAACCATCGGAATCCCGCCTGTATCTATCTTAATCACTGATATTCCCTGTCCGTTCCAATTTCGGACTAGCTACTGGTAGTTCATGGGAATAAGACGAGCTGGGTTGAACTTGCATATTCTTCTGCTAAGCAAAATTCCTCTAATCTTTTTTTCATCCAAGGACCATACATAAAATTATACCATGTCCAATTTAGAAAAAATCGAATAAACTTGCTGAGTCGAGCATCACTTGTCTTGATGTGATGAGCATCTGGATATTAACAACCTATATAATTGCTACTTCATAGGACGTCCAACAAGATTTACGGAGGAATTTTTGGTAATGTGGAAAAAATATGTTGTTAGTCAGCGCTTTTTCAACTATCAGTTAATTCCAATTCACGTATTTTTCTCTTATAATTATTCATTAAATCAAAACCACTTCTTTTTCAACATCTAGTTCTAATATTTTGGCGAAAAAAAAACGTGAACATCACTTTAAACAGATTTTAGTAAAATGTATGAGCTAATGGAGGAAGGAAAGAAATCTCGCTTGTTTGTTTCAAAAGAGCTTAAAATGCGACTAGTAAACAGAAATTAGTAAGCATCTAGTGTTACAACTAGTCCTTCCACTAGTCCGAACTAATATATTTATTAAATTATATGATTCAATTTTTTTAGGGAGCACTTATTTACGTAGTTTCGAACTTTCGAGGGGGCACATTATGACGGGATTAAGAATTTTTGTGGAGTCTCGATTTGGAAGAAAATTCAAGTTGAAAACATGGAACCAACAAATTGTGTGAGTGTAATTATATATGACCAACAATTCCTCTAATTTTACTTTGCTTGCCATGTTTTAAAGAAAAGGAGAGCAAAGGAATTCCTGAGAGAGGGTCCATGCACGATCAAACGTGGGGGAGGATGAGTAAGCCTCGTAGGCGTTTCTTGCCTGCGATTTGATGAATAAATTAATTTCCTCAAAGTATATCGTTTTTCCAACAGATAGAAATCATTCAGTAGCGAAGTAGCCGTTAAGTACAATATGTACGAGGCGGTAAAGGAGAATTTCATCACATTTCAGAAAAAAAAAAAATCTCACAGCTCGACGCTAAATCACATGTTTCCGTAAATGGTTGAACAAAACGAAAATATCGGTGAATGTTGAACAGATTCAAAGAGGTAAAGGCATTACCCTAAATGCCCACATCTGCGGGGAATAACTGCCAAGAGCCGGCACGAAGTAGTCCTCCGAGGACAAGCCCTTACAAGAACAATCGCGAACTAAGAATTGTTGGCCAATTAAAAAGGATCTTGAAGAGACAGCCGGTGAGGGCGGTACCGAATCTGTACTCGGCTGCAGTAATTGTCTGGATAATGTCACTCAGCTCCCACACTTTAGCAGTCTCTAGATGTCAATCAGTGCCTTTCTCACGCTCTTCTCGCTTCTAGTCGTGCGTCCTTGTGTCCCATCCTGCTCCTCCGCCTCTTCTGTATATAGGGCTTCGAGAAACACGAGCATCAAGAGTGCGCTCAAGTCCCGTGCCATAACTGTTTGCAGGCGGAATGAAAATATATGACTCGAGCTAAAACTCAGTAAATACAAATAAACAAAATTGTTTATTAATTTTAAAAAACACGATCACAGATACAATTTTTTTTTATCCTCCTCTTCCTCACCTTTTAGGCTATACGGGATTTCCCGTGCCAAGGAGTGAGGGCGGAGGATTAATGCCAGTGTTAAAAGCTCCCTCTCCTCTCTTGGACCTTTTTTTTTTTTTTTTTTTTTTTTCCTACCTGGCCATTTCTGGCATACGGGGTTCCTCTCTTGGACCATACAATTTTCATTAAATTATATATGTGGATAATTAGGATCAAGGTAGCCGGGCAACGCGCGGTGCTGCGTTCACAAATTAGCCCGCTCGGCCACCCCGCTCCTGGGAATGTAATTTCATGCCTACTTCTTACATGCCTTACACTTTGGTACTACTTCTTACACTTTGGTAGATTTCTGTGGAAATTGATGTCTATGGATATTTAAAATCGATACAGCAGTCTTTCATCCCCTAACGATACTCGGATGTTGACGTACATATAGAAATCACGAAATTAGCTTGGTAGGAACCCGAAGTGGTTTTGGAGGGAACCCGACCACTACACTCATTTTAAATATTCGTCAACAATTTCCCAAATACAACTATTTTGTTTAAATAGATATGCAACTAAGAGAGAGGACGGTCGAGTGGGCTAACGGGTGTGCACATCACCGCGCGTTGCTCGATAACAAAAAAAGTAGATATGCAACTGTATTTTCTTAGTTTTGATAGTTATTTTTGTATTCGTTTTTTTTTTTTTTTAAATTATTGGTGTATTATTTTCAATAATGAACCTTTTTAATAAAAGTTAACCAACCTAATCAAAACCAATAAGAATGGCGTAGTTCATCCAAATACCATAATATTTATTGATTGCATGACCCTTCACTGTCTTTCAGTAAAATCGGGAGCTTAACTGTTAATGCTGCCAATGGACGTCAAGGCATAATACTGGAAAGGCCTCTTGCTCTAGTTCTAAATCCAATTTCAACAAACAATTTGGCAAGCTTTTAAAGATCATTCACTCATGTTACCGTTTTATAACGTATATATGATTTAACTTTAAACGTCCCAACGTGATTTTAAATAAAACATACTTGTCCTATTTAGGACTAAACTCTGCATAGGGTTAAAAATAATAAAGACTTTAATAGTTAAGGATGCCCAATTCAGTTCTCTCCTCGACTCCTTAGGACATCACTTCATCTTGGGTGCAGACCTAAATGCCAAGCACCAACAATGGGGTTCCAGAACCACGAATTCTCGTGGCCGAACCCTGCTGTCTGCACTCAATTCCCAACGTTTTCACCTCCTTTCCCCCAACTCTCCTACCTACTGGCCCACAGATTCCAACCGTAATCCTGATCTTCTTGATTTCTTTATCCACAGCGGCTTAAGTCCCCTCAATTGTTCCATTAAACGTCTAAATGAACTTTCCTCTGACCATAGTCCTCTAATCCTTAATGTTTCACTTGAACCTGTTCCCAAACCTTCTCCACCATCATTCATTAGGGGCCCAGTAAACTGGGACCTTTTCCGCAAAATAATCTCCGATAATATTGATCTCAACATATCCCTCAAAACTCCCGATGACCTTGATAGTGCCGTAAATTCCTTTACTACCACAATCCAACAAGCCGCCTGGACTGCCTCCTTCCCAAAAGACACCTCCAGAATTCCTATAAAGACCATTCTACCCCAACACCTCCTTAACCTAATCCGCACCAAACGCCGTGCCAGATTATTATGGCAACGCACCCGACATCCTACCGACCGCTGCTCCTATAATTACTACTGCAAACAATTAAAACTGGAATTAGCCACCTTCAGATCACAATCCTTCAACTCCTACCTATCCTCCCTCTCTTCTCGCGACAATTCCCTTTGGAAAACCACAACAAAAATCCTAAATCCTCACCGCATTTCCCATCCTCTCCGACGAGGTGATGGCTCCTGGGCAGCATCTGACGAAGATAAAGCTGAGGAGTTCGCCATTCACCTATCCAATACATTTATTTCACATCCGGAATCCCATCCTGCCCACACCGTAACAGTAGAAGAACTCCTTACATCACCAATCCCACTTTCCTTGCCCCCAAAAGCTATTCATCCTTCCGAAGTAAAATTTCAATTAAAAAAACTAATCCCCCGTAAAGCTCCTGGACATGATCTCCTTACACCTCAAATCCTTCGACAACTTCCATCCAAAGCAGTCATATTCCTTACATATATCTACAATTGTATCCTACGCACCACCCACTTCCCTCTGTTATGGAAACACTCCACTATTATCCTTTTCCCAAAACCAGGAAAACCTCTCAATAGCTCAACATCCTATAGACCAATCAGCCTACTCCCAATCCTTTCAAAAATTTTTGAAAAGATCCTTTTGAAACGAATCCTACCCATTATAGAATCCCAAAATATTCCTTCCCATCAGTTTGGTTTTCGCTCCCAACATTCTACTGTTCAACAAGGACTCCGAGTTGTTGATCATATTTCCTCAGCCCTAGAAAACAAGGAATACTGTTCGGGTGCATTTCTGGACATTGCACAGGCATTTGACCGGGTATGGCACTCCGGACTGCTCTTCAAGCTTAAAATCCATTTACCTCAGTCCTTGTACCTAGTCCTCCGATCCTACCTCTCTGACCGCTCCTTCCGAGTTCGCTGTGGAACAGAATTTTCCAATATCTACTCCGTTAAAGCCGGTGTTCCCCAAGGCAGCGTCTTGGGTCCCGTGCTTTACATCCTCTTTACTGCTGACATCCCTGTTCATCCCGATACTTTTCTTGCAACATTCGCTGACGACACCGCAATCTTATCATCCAACTCTGATCCCAACATAGCATCCTTAAATCTCCAAAACCACCTCACCTTGATTGAGCACTGGTGTAATAACTGGCGCATTAAAGTTAATGAATCTAAATGCCAACATATTACCTTTACACTCCGACGCAGTTCCTGTCCACCAGTACACTTTAATTCCATCCAGCTTCCTTACTCAGACACAGTCCGGTATCTTGGCTTTCATTTAGACCGAAGACTAACGTGGAACCCACATACTAGACTCAAAAGACAAGAACTCAACCGACGATACGGCCAGCTATACAGACTACTAAACAGAAAATCCAAACTTTCTATTGAAAACAAATTACTTATCTACAAGACAATACTGAAACCTATATGGACATACGGACTTGAACTGTGGGGAACAGCAAAAGCTTCTAACATCAAACGTATTCAATCCTTTCAATCTAAAGTCCTTCGAACAATAGTTGATGCTCCGTTCTATGTAAATAACAAAATCCTACACCATGATCTTAATATCCCATTTGTCCTAGACCTTATTCCAGAAAAATTCTCCAAATTTCACCAAAACCTTACCTATCATCCAAATCCCCTTGCACAATCTCTATCCAGCACCACCCATCCTTACAATCCTCCTCGAAGGTTGAAGCGGCAGTGGCCCAGAGACCTTTTGTAAATAAGCATCTATTGGAGTTTTGGCAATGGCCAGATCCTCCACTCAAGCCCGAGTGTGTATGATTAGGTTAGTTCTTTTGTTTATATAAATTTATTTTATTTTATTGTATTTATTTTTATTTTATTTTATTGTATTTATTATTATTAAGTTTCTGTATTATTTATTTTATTTTTTATTGTAAATAGAGTGTGAGTGTGCTTTCTCTGATCACTATTATAAATGTCCTTGATGTGACAGAATGTAATATTTCTAAATAAACAAATATATAATATTGCCGTAAAAAAAAAAAAAAAAAAAAAAAAAAAAAAAAAAAAAAAAAAAAAAAAAAATAGTTAAGGAGATTAGAAAATATATATATATTAACTCTATGTGATTTCAGAACCTAGGATGGTTGGCTAACTAAAATATAACACCTTCAGACCGTCCTCCTTAAGCGGACTTGTAAACAATGCATTTCCTCCGACTTGAGAAGGAATTCAAATAGCTTTGTAAACTGGTGTCAGTCCCTTCAAGTATGAGTCGCCATTAAAGATTCGAAAATAGCCATGCGGTCGAACATTTGTGTGTTGTTTGGTTTACAGACCACTTGGAAACTGGGTCACTAGGAAACAGCCGAGATAAAACCAGAAATAGATCTCTAAGGGGAAGTGAATATAGAAAACGTTGTTTTCAGAATATGGCCTTATTATATGATACCGTACATAAACGATTATAATATATAAAATTAGTTACTTTCTTGAGAACTCTCAAAATACATATTTAGGTATCCTTTTCCCTTTCGCATTTGACATATATTAAGACATAAGAAAAACATGTTTATTGGTACATAGAATAATATATTATTAAGAAAATCTATTCCACACCCACGATCGATGGAGCTTTCTGCTTTACCAGGACTGTTAAACTAACAATTTACAAAGTAAATGATTAACATGTCTCAATGAAAAATAATTCTCCGATTTAATAGTTCCTTAATGAGACACAACTATCTATGAACTCAAGATCTATTTGTTTGATATAGAGTTTTGATTTGTAGTTCCCTGACATCCTAAGAGTATAGAAGTCTAATACTGAGGGTCTAGAAGCTACACCTGGATATTATTTCAATTTACGAAAAATATCAAAAATTTTCTATCTTTATTATTCGACGTGCCCTAAGACATCAGAAACGTTCTTCTTCAACCACCTTTTCAAAGGTAACAATACTGTTTCTATGTTTGCATCAAAATCTAAAAAACAAAATTTACTCCGTCTCGATCTGTTGACTTCTAAAACCATCTGAGTTAGGAACCTACCATTTTTCCAATGGCTCTTATTAAACTTGTTATATTTGGGGATCGACATTGGAATTCGTCACTTCTTCATGAAAT